GCAAGTCCAGAGAAGCACAATGGAGCAGGTGAAGGCTCTAGGCAATTAGTCCTACACGGAGCGGCTGAGGGAGTTGAGGGTGTTTAGTCTGGAGGAGGCTCAGGGGAGGCTTTAACAGCCTCTACAACTACCTGAAAGGAGGGTATAGAGAGCTGAGGGTCGGCCTTTTCTCATGGACAGGAGGACACCGTCTTAAGCTGCACCAGGGCACATTCAGGCTGGACATTAGGAAGAATTTCTTTGCTGAAGGAGTGGTTAAGCCTTGGAACAGGCTGCCCAGGGAGGTGGTGGAGGTACCATCCCTGGAGGTGTTCAAGAAACGACTGAATGGGGCACTTGGAGTGCTGTGGTTTTGTTGACATGGTGGGGGTTCAGTCCAAGGTTGGACTCTCTGATCCCAGAAGTCTTTTCCAACCTTAATGATTCTACACACAACACTCACCTCTCTCAAGGCTTCCAGAAAATGGATAACAAGTTGATGCTCCTCAAAGGAAAGCACACAGCCAGAGGCAAACCTCTTATATAACAGAGAAATAAAAACCTCTTTTAGCCCTCTTTTGTACTTCCCTCTTCACCTTGCCATAAACATAGTTTATTAATTGATGATGCTGCTAGCTCCTCTGTACTTACCACCATGAATTAGGGCATTAGGACACAGGAGTCAGGTACGAAACAGAAAGTACAGAGGGGTCACAGAAAAAAGACACAAAGTCAAAAATCTGCCATGTACACAAAGAGGATGGAAATATCATAGAAGGAAGAAAAACAGTATCTTTAAGATCAATATACAATGTTGAAAGTGACTGAAAACACTGTGGTACTTGAAATCCACTGAATTGAGGTGCTCCTATGAGAAACCAAAACATTCAGAATATAGAAAGGAAAAACGACTCATGATGAATGAGAGAAGGGAGATAAAGGTCAGGTACGGGAGAGTCACCAAAACTTTCTCACAAAGCCAGAAGGAATGAGGAAAGTTACTAATGCTACGGTGGTACAAGGCAAAGTATCAGAACTTAATTCCATAAAATCCTGAAATCCAAGGAAAAAGAAGTCAGACTAAGAGGGAAGCAAAGCAGCATTTGGAAATAACTTCAGATACAGAGGCTGCATACACGGGGTCTTGACAAAACCAAGAATACAAAAAGGAGGTTAAAAAGGAAGATGGTGAGTTAACTAGAGGGATCTAGAAGTTGCAGTGGTGCTTAGAACTGAAATGATCCAATACAGCACAAAAATTTAACTTTGGGAACAGATCAGAAGGGAAATGGTAGAGCCTATGAAAAAAATGCTGCCACATAACTGGAAAATACCAATAAAAACACCACATACATCAATTAAAGAAAACAGAAAGGCCAGTGTTGAGTGCCAAAGGTGACAGACAGATTAAGACGGATAAATTAAGAATTACACTTCAGATTTAACCACGAACAAGCCACCTGTGACCTTACAGCAGTTCAACAAACTCAATCATCTGAAAGAAGGCTGCAGATCAGTGAAAGCACGGATGGACAGGAAGTCAAATCAGTACAAAAATATACCATTAAATATTTTGAATTAACTGAAGACTGGATGTAGGGCTGCAGTGAAAGGGCAATGTATGCTGTGAAGAACACATTTCAAATTAAATTTCTGAAGTGTTTACTTTCAATTAAAAAAAAATGGAACAGTTTAAATGAAACAGAAGTGGAACCTGAACAGGGAGTTAAGAACAGTGACAAGTGTGACTGAGGCAATGGGAAAGGACGGTGATATTAAGCAGCAGAAAGTATAAAGGAGACTTCTAAATCACAAAGAGACGAAAAAGATTGCCATAAAGAGTTACAGCTATTCTTAAGCCAATATATTTGATGAACAATCAGGATAGTTCTTTAACATCCTCACTTTAACATCTTCCGGTGACACGTAAAGGAAGCACTGAATTCGCAAAAAGCATTGCTTTAAATTCCTGAAGGAGAAGTTTTCATATAATTCACTTTTACCTTTCTATCCTTACCATCTGGAAACATTTACAGTTGCTAAAAACTCCTGCTATCAGGAACAAAAAAACCACACACACAAAAACCCAGGCTTCATGCAGCCTCCTTCATACCAGGAAGTCAAAGCAAATTGGGAAGGATTTGCTACTAGCACTTAACCTTCACCTTACAGAGTTTATTTTTAGGATTGAGTGGCAAGCTGTAACTCCAGAATGAAAGAATAAGGGAAAAAACAAGACTGAGCCACAGTTCTCCATTCAGTTATACTGGTTTTATCTTGAATTGTTAAAGTGCAAACAAAAACAAAAAAAAAAAAAAGAAAAAAAACCTTAAAAGCAAAACTTTATCACTAGATTATTTGCTCCTTTCTCTCTGCCAGCCTTTCATCTTATATTTTTAATGCTATATGAATTAATAGCTCTCTGGAACAGGAAGGCTTCCTTTATAAAAGTCTAAAGCAATACATTTGCAGTACCTGCTAACATTTAGCCACTGGCAGGATGACACTACTGTCCTTGTTCTGCTCTAAGTCAAACTCTTATCACACACAAGTTCACAAGAAAACGACCCATTGTAGAGATGCTGTGTGTGAACTACTGACAGTCCAACGTTCATTTATTAACAGAGCTGTGAAAGAACCAGGCCCTGCTACCCCATCCCATTGCTGCCAGCTCAGCTGCACTTGGTCACATATGGCTTACAAAGTTTTCTTTTAGTTTTGCATTTATTTCCAGTTCTTACAAACTCTGACATTCACGCACACACCTCCCACCCCCCTCTGTCGTATGACACTAACCCTGAGGCTGAAGAAAAGATAATCCTACCTAAATACAAGAAATTCATGCTATGGCTTTGGATTCCTTTTTTTCCCATCCTCCAGCAATCAATCAGTTTAAATAAACCGATGGAAATTAGTCCCAAAGCACTTTTTATCCAAGAGAAAGATAAAAACAAAATATTCAATTAAAACTATTAATGAAAATTATTATTGAAGCCATCACTGTACTTTAACATCCAAAACAAAGCTATTATCCCACCTGACAGGGGAGGAAAAAAGATTATACAGAGAAAAAGAACTTTAAAAATTAAGGTTTCAGAAGCTAAATTGCTGCTGGTAACACTGAATAAATCTTATCAATCACTCTTTATTATTGTATTTAACCCAAACTATCTCCATGAAACTTGCAAATGAGGTTAATAGATGGAGCCAGCCAGCCAGATCACAGAAGAGAAAATAAAAGCTTGGATTGCAGTTGTTTCTTATTATTGCCCTCAAAAAAATAAACAGTTTTGGCTTTAGCATCCTCCTCAACAGTTTTACATTTTGTGGCCAAGCTGTCAGCACAAAGGAACCACAAAGCCCAACATAACTTTTGAAAAACAAACGTTGATTATTACAACAAATAAGGTTAGCAAGAGCATTTGAAAGACTCTCTGTTCATGGGGTGGTACTATCCTTGAAATGGACTTTATACAGTTTAAAGAAATGGACTCCTAACAACGCTGTTGTTTGATTCATAAACTCTTGGTGTCAGGGGCCATCCCCGTGTTCTGGGGTAGGACAGTGCTTGGCACAGGGTGTTCCAGGACATTATAAATACTATTAGCACCACTAATTACTCAACATACATCACCAGCATATTCTTAGAATGCTTCTACCCCAGCAGGTTTCAGCTAAAAACCAAACATTGTTAACACACGATGCAAAGTTCAGCTCCAGGCTATTTCTATGCCCTTTCTTCCTTTTGAAACGCCTTTCTAACATTCATTACTACACAAACCTGTACTATTAGAAAACTCCTTTGCTGAACTCCCTTTCTTGATTCAGCCCAGGACTTTCTGCTCCTAAGAACCGCTTCTTTCAAGGAGGTTATAAAGGCTGCAATATGAACCCCATCACGGATGTATCTCAGTGCCTCATTATTCTTCTTCTTATTAAGTTTGCACATAGAGTACCCTCCGTAGATAGCTAACTATTGTCATGCTAATAAAGTGGTCTGAGAAGCGCTGCACACCAGAGGCTGGATCTGTAGAAGCTCATCATGCAGCTTAAATTAACGGCAGCTACAGGCACTCAGGTTCATACGAGGACAAGGCATTACACGATTTTCCCTCGGTGTTTGTCTCATTATCAGATCCCTCTCAGGTCTCTCAGCATCGCCTCAACTGCTGGATCGACTTCCTGCCTGTCACAGCCCAAACCTTTCTCCATGCCTGCTGACTGCCCTTTATCCAGGCAACGGGAACGCCTCCTGCTTCCAGGTGAAGAAACACCACACACTTGGTGGCATACACACAACACAACTATTAAAATACAACCGTACTTCAGGCTGATGAAGGAATCACTTGTGGGAAGAGAAGGTTGTGAGATAAGGAAATTCAAGCCTGTCCCAGTGATTAAATAAGATACCAAAGATACCAAACGCGCAGCACATGAACATCACACCCAACGCCGTAATAAGCCAGAGAGCAGGTCTAGGAACAGTATCGGCCCACAAACAAAATGAAGCCTTCCATCGTCGGTTTTTTGCTGTCAACACGTTCCTCTGAGAGCCACGTCAAAGCCCCAAACCCCAAGAAGCGCTCCCGGCACACCCTTTAGGGGGGGTTTCACAGCCCCTTCAGGGACCATGCGGGGGGGGCTCTGCCTGCGCTGCCAGGAGGAACGCGGGGTACCCCCCCAGCCCCGAGGGGAGACTTTCCCCCTCAACAGGGAACGTCATCCTCGGGCACAGGGCTGGGGAGACCCTCGCTGCTCGGGAAAGCAGAGCAGCAACGAGAGAGGCACGGGGGGTCCTTCAGAGATGAGGATACAGTCAGGATAAAGGGTGCCCTTGCCCCACGCTCCTACTCTAACAGCACACAGAGGACGAAAAGAAAAAACGATTACTCCCTCCCACAAGAAAAGCAGGAGGGTAGGAAGGAGGGCGGGACGAGCGCTCACCCCCGCCCCAGCACGACCCCTGTGCCCCGAGGGGCTGTGGGGGCGCCCCCTCCATCTTGTGCCCGACACCGACTTACCCGCCGGAAGCCTCCGCGCGCTCCTATTGGCTGGCGCCGCCGCCGCCGCGTCACGTGGGCAGGGAAAGCCCCGCCCCCTCCCTCCGCCTCCGCCGTGGCCGCGCCTTTGGCGGGGCGGTGTGCGCGTGCTGCCGGTGCGGCGCGTGCGCACGCGCCGGAGGACGCGGAGGGAAGGGAAGGGAGGTGTGGTCGCGCGCTGTGCGCGTGCGCCGGCGGCGGCGCGCGTCGGGGCGGCGGAGGGGCGCGAGGCGGTCCCGGGCGCGCGGGAGCGGGGGCGCGCAGGCGCCGGGCGGGGGCGGGGAGGGGAGGGCGGAGGGGGCGGGGGCGCCGCCGGTGCCGCCCCGCAGGAAGCGGAGCCGCCCGGGCCCCGCGCCGCGAGAGCGCGGGAGAGGCAGGCCGGCAGCGAGCGGCATCGCTTCCCGCACGCCGTCGCCGCCCCCGGGACGCCGCTCCGTGAGGAACAACCGGCCGCGAGTCGGCAGGGGAGCAGCGCCCGCCCCTCCCTACATCCGCCCCGTCCTGCGAGGCGGGACGTGACCGCTCCCTGTACCCCCGTTCCCGAGCTGCACCGCCGCCCGTCCCGAGGAGGGAGCCCGGCACTTGTTGCCGCGATGGTGCCCGGCCCGGCCGAGTAGGAGCGCGGAGCCCCCCGGGGAGAGGAGCGCAGAGCAGCGGGCACCGAGCCGGCCCCGCCGGGCACCGCGGGGTGTTGTCTGCCCGCCGCACCCGGCGGTGACGGCGCTTCCCGAGCGGCTCCAGGACTCGGGTCTGGGCGCGGAGGTCGCTCCCGGCAGCGCCGCCCGGCCCGGGGGTCCCGGCGGGACCAGGGGGCAGCGCCGCCAGCTCCATTCCCCGGCCCGAGCCAAAATGTCCTTCTTCAACTTTCGCAAGATCTTCAAGCTGGGCGGCGAGAAGAAGAAGAAGCAATACGAGCACGTCAAGAGGGATTTGAACCCTGAGGAGTTCTGGGAAATCATCGGGGAGCTGGGAGATGGTGCTTTCGGTAAAGTGTTCAAGGTAAGGGCGGGCGGCGCGGGTCGCTGGTGTGGCTGCTCATAGCTGGGAAATGACTCGGAGCAGTGGTGCTGCCTTTCAGCGCTGCCTCGGGCTCCCTGTCTGCCAGCCCCGGCCCCTCGGGATACCTGCTGGGAGCGGCGAGTTCGGGACAACTTGGGGCGGAGAGCGCCCGGTGCCCCCCCGGGAGCGGCGGAGGCAGAGCGGGGCATCCCGGCGCCGCTTGTCCACTGAGCCTCGCGAAACTAAAGATAGAAAACTCCTATTAGGTCATTGTCCCGCCTTCTGCTCCACCCTGCCCGCTGCTGAATCGCTCGCTTCCCCTGTATTTTGGGGTTTTTTTGGGACGTGCACAGTGTGGCTTCTGACCTCACTATATTTTCTTGGTGTGAGGTGCGTGTTTGTTTTGGCTTTTTTTCCCTAAGTTTCTGTACAGAAAGAAGCCACTGAACAGTAAAGTCGACTCCTGTGCCTCGTGCGTAGTGTATAGAGCCGAGTTCTCGTCGCTAAATGGGCATTCCCCCATCTTGCTCCATGTGGAGTTGAATTAAATAGTTGCGTTATCTTGGCTTTCACTGTGTGGCAAAATTCCTGTGTTGGATCTCCTAACTTCTCTCCTTTGTTTACTCTTTAAATCTTTAAGTGTACTGGTACAAGTAGTGTTTTGAAGGATGCTTACCTAGAATTTATCAAGCCAAGTGGAGTACAATGACACAGATACAACCCTGCTAATGTTTGACAAGACTGAAGCTTTCAGGCATATCTTCAGCTACTCTGCCTCCTTCTAAAAGGGCGTCAATGCTTCGCGTTTGACTTAGGGATAGTGTGAAAAAACATCATGGAGGGATAAACATGAGAGAATTGGGAACTGACTGAGAATTGGGAATTGAGACTCTGAAGCGGGTTCTTGAGTCTAGCAAAAAATAGCATGAGAATACCATTTACAGTGTTTCTGAGAGCTAATTCGGTCAAGAAACTTCTATATTTAGAGTACTGTATTTGAGAGTTTATGAAATCGGGATACTCATGAAGCATGTGCTATTTTGGGTAGATACTCTATTGTACTGTGGTGTCACCTGTTTGTAAATTTGAGCAGAAGTGCCACAGTCAGTTCAGAATGTTAGGTGGGGTCATTTCACCCAAGGAATTCGTGTTGATGTTCTATTTTAGGAGCGTCTGGTTTATTTAGATATTGGGGTATTACATAGTCTAGATGGTGCTTCTCATGTCACTTTGGAATATTAGAGGTATTTTTTTTCATTAAAATAACTGAATATGTCTGAAGTTACTCTAGAATAAAGTTTGCTGGCTCTAACGTCTCTAATGGCATTTGCAGAGTATTAAAGTTTCTCTTTAAGCTTCATAGTGGAGTTTTGATTCCCATTTTGTGAATATATACCTCAGAAATACAATGCTAAGTGTGTTCTTCTCCCCCACGTGCATTTCCCCTCCTATCCTCAAACCTCTTCTCATGTTTATTTGTAGGCATGTCTATATTAGCAGTAGTACTACTAGAGGAAGGTGTCTGAGCAAGACAGCTCTAAATTTTGCATTTCAGTGTACTTTGTACATAAACAGGAGAAAGTTATTTCACGGTCAGAAATAAGTCTCAAAGTAAAAAATCACATCCAAATGGAAAACAGAGTTAACTCCTGAAATTGGATTTTTCAAAATTAAAGCATGTTTTTAAAAATTGTAGTAGTCAGAATTGCACCTGTGTTTACACGGTTGAACTTAGCAGTTGTGAGAATTAACAGGCACTATTATTCCTGGGAAAAAAATCCCTTTTAAAAAAGAAATCTCTTACTGCTTGAGTTCAGCAGCATTCATTTTGTTTTCATCTAGTATGAGAAGGAGGATTACACACAGATACTGATTGTGCTTGTATTCCTGCATCTGAGTGTGCTTGGCAAGCAACTGTAAAGCAAAGGTGTGTTAGGTTGTTCTTTCATGGATATGCACATCAAATGAGAAACTGCAGGAATAGCCTTTCAATTCCTTCTCAAATTTTGCATTCAAGACTATAAGCTGGAACAAAACTGTCAAATGAGCGAAGACTTTGTCTTTGGATAATGCAAGTGTGGGTGGTTGGAACTCCTTGTTTATTTACAAAAAAATCCCCCACTATCCCAGTGTCAGTTACATTTGCCAAAACTACATTTGCCTTTGTTTAAGATCCTAGGATCTATGTGTGACAGGGTTTTGGCAGATGTTTGTTGAAAGGCAGTTGCCAGATAAATAAGGCTATGTATACTTTGGATTTCTAATAAAAAGTAGGTTAGATTGGTTACATGCTATGATTTCCCATAGAGGAGTATTAGCTTCAGTTGTGTAACTGATCTTCTGGATAAAGTATCAAATATTTAAATAAAAGTTCAAAAGCAACTCTAAAATGATTGACAGTACTGAAACCCTCACTGATTAATTTATTTTAAATTTTAAAATCATTACTTAAAATGCTGTCTAGTGATAATTAGTTTTCTGTACAGCAGTCTTAAGAGTATTGAAAACTTGGGATTCATTCCCCTTCTTCCCAATCAACTACAAGGATCTTGCTTATTTTTTAATACTTTAGCCAAATTGCTAGAAGAGCTTATTTCCTTTGAAGCTGTTTGTTGTAGCGTTCTAAGGCTTTTTGAGTTCTGTCAATTCGTACATTTGTATTCACTAACTTCTAAGTAATGTTTAGAAATACTCTGAGTGTTTCAACTGCTGCTGCAAGTCTCTTGTGATCAGAGGAGCTCTGTAATTGCAGACTACTGATGGCAAAGGTTTATGGCTCTATAGGACTTTTCATTCTGGCCCTTTTCAGCCTCTTCAAAGAGGCCACTTTAGACTGTTTTCTTTTTGCTCTTGGCTAATGAATAATGGTGTAGTTTTCTGTCCTTTTTCAATTTATAGACCCTTGCAGTACTTCAATGTCAGGTGATGGCCCTTGTAAAGAGAATTTCGAGGTTGCTGATGGAATTTTTTTTCCAATCTTTTATTTGCCTTTCATGAATTATTTAGAATTACTGAATGGATTGCTAGAGTTCTGACAGACACTGAAGAAGCGTAGTATTAGCACTGGAGTCTGATTTCAACTTTGAAGTTTGGCAGCTAGACACAAACTACTATCTTACAAAAACAAACCAAAAGCCAAAAGATAGAACAGCTTGAAACTGCTCTTGATTTGATCAGGTTAAGTGTCCTCAAAAAACTTCGACTCTTACTGTAATTGTAAAGAGTTTGCTTTAGAAATTAGTTATTATATCATGTAGCTGTATTGTGTGTTATAGTTCCCTATCGTGTCCAGAATCGGTTCTGTGCACACTGTAAACATTGCTTTAAGGTAAATCACTGTTAGTGTTAACAACTCCCATCAGCTTTAGGCTAGGAAGTTCATGTCTAGATGATGTGAAAACAGACCTTTAAGATGCCTGACTTGAACTGTGGCTCTTCCTTGCTAAAGTTCCTGATGGAGACTCTTTATCATACAGATATACACAATTAATGAAAATGCAAATATCTTCCTAAGTAAACCTTCTGAATTAAATAAAGGGCTGGGACTATATTTCAGTAAAATTTGCCAGCCTTTTTGGTGGTAAGAACATGTTACACTGATGTTTAGTTGGTGTCATCTCTGAGCCCTTCATTAGAGGATACTCCTCCAAGAAATTAACAGACTTTTGGCCATCATTATGATTATTATGAGTACCATCTCTACAAGTATATTAATTTCAAATCTTCTATGGGAACAGGTTTTATAGAGGTATAATATATGTGGCAGTATACCATATATGATACAGGGGATATGTGTATTTATATGGGATGTGTATATATATTTTAATAGAAAGTGACAAATTATTATTAGAGAATCCTTTGGACTTGTCTGGTTTTGAGTTTCATTCATGCTGCTTTGTTTGACTTGGAATATTCTACCTATTTATAGTATCCCATCTAAAATGTTGAAAGCATTGTGTATATAATATTCTCATAGGAATTTGGAAAATGAAATATTTGTATTTCATGTGAAGCTACTAGGACAAGTTTTCCAACTCTGAGCAATGAACTGGTGCTTGGTTAAAAAATCTGTTTTCTTCTTTGGGTTCAGAGAAGAAATGTTGTGGATGCTGATAACCATAATCATGGTGAACAGCATTACCCTAATGCATTATCTGTTGAAAATTGTAACTACATTAAGCATTCATAGATACTTATATTGGCAGTAGTGGCCAATACAAACTCATCTCTGACTGGTGACAGTGGACTTCAGATACAGTGTTTCTTAAAGTCCAATAAAATAATGATGGTGCTTCATTTAGGTTAAGCATTTGTATCTACAATTGAAACAATCTTATCTGTAATGTACCTATAAAACTTTACAGGATAGCTTGTTTGTGCCTTAATGTCTTCTATAGAAGGTAGAAACACATAGAATTTATAAGTAGTGATTTAGTAAAACTGGGCCAATTATATCATTTAATGATTATATGTTCTTAACTCCTTTTAATGTTAAAATGTGAAGTGACTTAGAAGCACTGTGGCTGCTCAGAAGTACTTTTTTGTGTATCACTAACATCACAGCTGATTTTCTAGTCATAGAAAATGCATTAGTTAGTCTGACCTGAAAACAAAGTAAGGACAGAGCAGGGAGGATTTATATTTCCTAGTTTCTCTGGCCTTATAGTACATCGTTCTAAATTCCTGCAGTTGGATATTGCAACTTGAAGTTACCTGAATGATAGTAATGTATCATGCTGCTTCCTAGGATGAACAGCTTTTACATTTGTAACTTAAAAACTCCCAGAAATAGATTTTGACCACTTACTGAATATCTAAGCTTGGAGCACAAATAGGCTGTTTTTTTCCTATGCTTTACCTACCATTTGATTTATGTGGTGTCATTAGTTCCACTAATTCTTCAGAAGAATTTGTTAGAGCTGTTGGAGCTTGGCAGACATTCCTGCATAAATGATACAGTTCCCTGTGAAAGATGTTGATTGAGTTTGTCTGAAGTCCTG